GGGGGTCACGCAATATGTTTTCCTCGTGATCCGGAAGTCGATGCTTGCCCTTCACCCCAAGCAGAAGCCCCATTGGGAAACGTTTTATAGACGAAACAGCAAGATGGCCACATGAATACTACTTTCAGAAAGAAGATCCTAGTCAGTGTGACAGACGTTGAAGAAGGCCATGTATCTGTATTGGCATCGGCTGGGTTTGTGAACCGGATCCCAAAATCAAGTCCCAATGTATATAATGCGTGGGGTGTCAGAATCACCGATTGCCATAGAATCATAGAGTTGGAAGAGACCTCGTGGGCTGTCCAGTCCAACCCCCTGCCAAGAAGCAGAAAGATTGCATTCAAAGCACCCCTGACATTCATCCTCATATTAAAAGCTTCCAAAGGAGCCTCCACCACACTCCGGGGCAGAGAGTTCCACTGCTGAACAGCTCTCACAGGAAGATCTTCCTAATGTTCACGTGGAATCTCCTTTCTTCTAGTTTGAAGCCATTGTTCTGTGTCCTAGTCTCCAGGGCAGCAGAAAACAAGCTTCCTCCCTCCTCCCCACATTCCTAAGCAAGAGCCCCCAGTGGCGCAAGGCAAACCCTTGTGCCGGGCAGGACTGAAGACCGTCAGGTCAGAGGTTCGAATCAGTGGAGAGCACAGATGAGCTCCCTCTGCCAGCTCTAGCTCCCCATGTGGTGACATGAGAGAAGCCTCCCACAAAGGTAGTAAAACATCAAAGCATCCGTCGTTCCCTGGGCAACGTCCTTGCAGATGGCCAATTCTCTTACACTAGAAGCGACTCCTGACACACACACACTCCCTAAAAGAACTCTTCGCCTTGTGCAATTGTGGAGCAGACCAAACAAATCCACATCTGTATGCTTGTCCACTATGCCCTGCCTCATGTACAGAGGAGGAATTGTTGGAGGCTACAGACAATGCTGTTGTTTGTTTTTTAAAATTGATTTTTATTAGGAAAATTTCACTGTATACAACAAGTATAAAAGGGGGGGGGGGGTTAGAATATACATAAAGAGTTAAAACCGGGAGGGGGGGAAAGGTATGAACAGGGTAGTGTGGGATTGACAGGGTAGGGGGAGGGGTGCCCTATCTGACATTCAGCTAAGTCTAGGGTCGGGGGTGGGGAGAGGGAAGGAGGGAAGGGACAAGAGGAAAGGTGGTTTATATAGGGGTTTGGCTTCCGATTCCTATATTCCGCGTTCTTGAATTCATTTCTTCTGGTCAGACTCGTTTCGTGGTTTTTCCCTTGTCACTCTTATTTATCTCTTGTATTTTGTTCTACTCTCATCTCTTTATGGTTCTAGTCCTCTCTCATAAATTCATTTAATGGACTCCAGTCTGTTCTCTTGAGAGGGCGTCCATATGAGTCTTTTAGTGCATAGGTTAGCATATCCATTTCTCTTATCTCTAGAACGTTTTCCATCCATTCTTCTTCGGTTGGTATTTCTTTTGATTTCCATTTCCTGGCATATACTAATCTTGCCGCTGTCGTGAGATAAGTGAGGAGTATGTCTTTGTTTGTGCTCAACTTCCATTCCTCCTTAAATATTCCTAGTAGGAAGCATTCTGCTTTCTCGTGGATCTTGATTTTGAGAATCTTTTCACAGGTTGCATTCACCTTTTTCCAAAAATTCTGGGCAATGGGGCATGACCACCATTGATGAAAAAGAGTTCCAATCTGGTTTTCGCATTTCCAACACTTGTTACAATTCTTTTTGTACATTTGTTCCAGTTTCTGGGGTGTCATGTACCAACGGTAGAGCTTTTTGTACCAGTTCTCTTTTAGTACTATGGAGTAAGTATATTTGATCTTCTTAGTCCATACTTGTTCCCACTCCTGAAGCATTATTGGTCTGCCGATGTTCTTTGCCCATTTTGCCATGCAGTCTTTAATTAATTCTGACTCTGTTGCCCATTCTAATAATTTGTTGTAGATGGATGTTATGTTTTTCTTATCTTTTCATAAGATCTTTTCCCAGAAGTCGTCCTTCTCCATGAAGCCCTCTTTTTGATCTTTCAGAAAGTGGTCTCTTAGTTGAAAATAATGAAGCCAAGAGAATGATTTGAATTCTCTGGAGAGTTCTTCTTTCGTCTTTAATTGGAGTATCCCCTCTTTTTTGATGGTTGAGGTTTTGTAAGTAGGCCATTTCCTCCAGCCAAGCAGTCTCTTTTGATCTCCCTCTAAAGGGGATAGCCACATGGGAGTTTTCCCCGGGTAGAGGTATTTCTTATATTTTCCCCATATTTTCAGTAAGGGCCTTCTTATAGCGTGATTGTAAAAGTTTTTTTCCTTCTTAGTTTGATTCTACCACAAATACGAGTGCCAACCAACTCTCAGGTCAAACTCCTCTAGGGCTAACACTTTTTCTTTTTCCAAAAGGATCCAATCTTTGATCCATGATATTCCACAGGCGTCATGGTATAGGTTCAGGTCTGG